TTTTTTTTGGGGGGGGGGGGGCGTGGAGGGGAGTCCCTCACAGGAATGGAAGATTGAAAGCATGCTTTCACAAGAGAAGAAAGCCTTCAGCCAAGCATTCTGCCAAGCTCAGGGGACAGACCGAGAGCACAGAAGAGACACAAATGACAGAATTGAGGAGCTATATTAAAAGGTGGAAGAAGAAGCCTAAGATTTGGAGGAACCTTAAAGATGGTCTCAGTCGGCTTCCTCAAATTCACACACACACCTTTCTGAGCTCTATCTCATTACATGAACTGACTAAAATCTAACTAAGTTTGTAGCAAAACTGGGACTTTTATTCCCATCAGTTCATCCACATTATTCTATCCACTGTGTTCTAGCAGCCTTGTGAGTGACACTTGCTGGGTTCTAATTTCACCCGTAAAAAAAGAATTAACAGTGCTGCCTGCATTTCAGGCACGTTTGAGAAATTCATCATAAACATTTAGCCGTCACCCACCTCTTTGAATGTGTGCAAGGTGAGGGTGATTTCCGTGAAAGTAGGCCAGCGTGGCACTGATTTCAGCCCTAGAGGCGTCTGGTTTTGAGAGCGAAGTCAGAGTTCTGAAAGCAAATGAAAAGCTCAACTGGGGGAAAAGCATGAAGTTCATGCTAATGAATTTTTATAGGATTAAAAAAAGAAAAGGGAAAAAAACAAGCTCTCTAACAGATCAAGGAAAGGGAATCAGAGCTGAGAGCTTCAAGAACGGCCAGGATGATGTCATGTGGTCAGAGCTGGGCCTCAGCTGCGTTTTCTACTGGTGGTGGTTTTGACATTCTGCAGTTGATGTGACGAGTACAGAGAAGCTGGAAACATATAAAACTAAATTTTCCACAATGAATTTAGGGTTCATTTCAGTAATTTCCATATCCTTAACGTATGCTTTCAAAATCCCGGAAGTCATCAAAAGTCAATGGCAGGACAACCGGGAAACAATAAGACCAGTGCGTCAGACACTGCAACCAGAAAGGCTTCCGCAAAGGTCAAAGGTTACACACCGGGCTGTGTTTATCAGATGATCAGAAGTGGCCTTACAAATGGCCAAGGTGTCAGTGGGTGAACAGGCTACTTGGGGTCTTAGCCCATTGGTCCACAGTGTTTGAAAGGGAGAAATCCGAAGCAGTAAGATGCTCTAACAGTTGATTTTTATGAACATAATACGCTATATGTCTCCTACAGATTTCTTTTACACATAAAATGACTCTGAATGTACCTGATGGTAAAAAATACTGTTAAGCTTCTTAGGCATAATTTCAAATCTTCTTTGTAAACTCGCCAAGAGCTGTCTGTAACCTGGAGGCAAATTATAAAAATAAAACCTCTTTGGTTTTAAGTTGGTCATGGTATTAAAACAGGACTCTAGGCTTTGCTTCCAACAGAAACAATGGAAAAGTTCTGGAGACTCTGGAGCTGCAGATCACAGTATGAATTCCTGGAATGCTTGGGTCCTGCCAGGGGGTGCACTGCCTTTGCAGCCAGGGCTCCTCCAATGTCAGGCTGATGGGAAACCAGCAAAGAGCACATCTGAAGGGACCTCTTAGTTTCTCTAAAAAAGGCTTTTAGTGGCTCTGACTGGATAATTCCAAATACCAGAAATAAACTTTTGTAAATTCAAGTTTTAAAAGCATTAAATTTTACATTCTTTGGTACCTCAAAATATCTAGTGGCATAAACAAAATTATTTTAGAGACTAATTAAACACCTCTGCAACTTAAACTGCTACTCTGTTCTGTTTTTAAATTATTTTAATTTCTAGGGTCCTTCTCGTGAATTTTCAGGAGCCTTTATTTTACAGGGAAAAACACATACCTGAAGTCTGAAATCTTACATATAAAAAGTGAACTGGAGACTACAGCATAAAGAACTTAACTCAAGTTCAGGTATTAGTCACCTGGGGCCAAACAAACCAGGACTGGGCTGAGCAGGGATGTGGTTACAAGTGCCTGGCAACCCCCTAAAACAGAGTGGATGGTCACACCCTAGAGAACTGTCTCAGCTAAAAGGAAAGGTGTTTTTTTTCTCTCAAGGCCCATGATAAATTTTACAATACTATATCCTGATGAATTAACTACAAAATTTAGTTTTAAAATATTTTCAGGAAATAAAATCTAGATAGAAATCAGAGTCAAGACACAATTACAACACTGAAAATTCATTGTTTACATTTGTTTACAGAAATGCTCATAGGAACAATGGTCAAAGCACATCACTCAATAAAATCAGTCTATGGTTTATCCATCAATGTAAACTGAGAGGATCTATATTAAAATGTAGGCAGATGGCTCCCACTGATGTGATTACTGATGAGGGTATAATACCCGTTTCCCTGTCTGTATTTTCTAATTTTTCTAGATGAACAACTGCTTACACCATGCAAAAAGATAAGGTTTTTTCTAAACTATACCTACAGAAGCAAAATTAGTGAGGCAACTGAAAATGTTTCTTTGGGTTGAGATGAACATATGTAATTTTATAAAGTACAATTTGGAAAAGGCCTCAACGTTCTTCTTTGCCTGCACAGTAAAAGGTCTTGCTGACATGCTTCTCTGTTTGCCAACTCCTACCTGTACACCCCAGTATAAGTGTCCAGAATAAAGCACTATCCCCAGAAACACCAAATCCACAGACACACAGCTATAAAGATTTAGAAGGGATTTAAAATATTCATAAGAGACATTATTAAATAGTCAAAACTGCTGAGGCATTCAATTTACCACTGTTAGCTTTTGGTGTACATCCTTCGACTCTTTTTCCTGTGCACAGAATTACTTCAAACAAAAAATTAACGTCTCCTTGTGACGAATCACATACCTCCTATTCTTGTTTCACTGCATTTGGTTATTATACCCATCATTATTTAAATCAGAAATCTAATTTAAACAATCTTACTGAGTGCCTCCTAGGTATAAGCTGAGGGTCAATGTTTTGGCAGTGATCACCACGAGAGTACTGGTCATTAGCTTTTATTTTGCTTCTCCTAAAACGCAAAAATTAGACAATGGCATTTGAATATGCCACATTTTGACAGATATTTAAGAAACTTGTTTATAAAAATAAGAGAATTTGCAGAGATACTAAAATCCCTAATTTAAATCCCTTGGATCTACAGTGAAATGACACTTTCATTCCAGGATAATTTTTAAGGCTCTTTGTGAGGATTGCTAAGTGATCTCATCCCCTTCTGTCCAAGCCCCCTCAGCTGTCCTCCAGTCCCTTTCCCCCTGCAGATGTGCCTCTATCCGAGCTCATGGACTGAAAAGCATCACTCGCTGCTCCAGCAGAAAGAGCTTGGCCCGCTCCAGGCTGACACATGCGCACTAGCATGTGACACTAGCACAAATTCGCCAACTCCAACAAACTCCAAACTGCAAAGGCATCTTTCAGACTCAAGAAGCAGAGGAGAAACTAAAATGTATTCTCATAAAGTAATTATTTTTTAAATCATGATTTACATTTATATTCAATTTCAAATTTGTTTCTTATTGATGTGCCCCTAAAAGCAAACTCCTACTAGCCTATTTAACAATACATTTTTCTCTTTGATGTACCAGCCTATATCAAGCTACAGTATTATTCAAATTTAGCCCAAGCTACCTACTTTTGTAGATTAAAAATTTGTTTCCTCTACGTGCTTTGTAAAGTTTCTGGAAGAATGGTGAAGTATAAATATTTTGATAATTTTTCTTGGGTGCTTGTTATCTACAAGGCTCTTTGTTAAGAGCTATAGGGAATTCATGTATTTTATTACAAAGATGTCTGCCCCGAAGGAATTTAAAATTGAAGTTATATATCTAACTTAGTAAAAAACAGGCAAGGCTCTTTGAGGAAATGCCCTACTAATGTCAACAAGAAGCAAATTTTGAGTAGAAAAAATGTTCCAGAGAATCTGTATTTCATTAAAAACATTTTTTAAAGGGAAGGGAAAAAAGGAGGGAGGGGGGGATGGAGCAGGCCAGAGGGCAGAGGGAGGAAGGGAGAGAGAGATACACAGAGTGATCTACAGAAAGAGAGAGGGTGACATGAACAGCCACGCAGAGGCAGGTAGAGCAGAACGCTCAGGGAGTCTGCTCAGGGAGCTACAAGCCGTGGCCCTCAGGAGCACAGCCATGGACCTCCAGCTTTTCCAACAGGCTCCAGCACTGAGATCGCAACCTTGTAGAAACACAAAGTCTCATTCAGTGCAAGGCTCCAAGGATTAGCCCATTGCCCTGCCTTCATGTTTCTCTCTTGTCAGTATGGGGGTAAAATAATGCCCCCAGGGAAGAAGGGCTCACAAAGGACTAGAGTTTGAAATACAGCTTTCTCCCAGGCCAGTGCCCACACTGGGAGGAAGGGTCTCACTCTCAATCTAGTCACTCATTACAACTGCTCCCCAAAGGTTCCTGTGACCCCACAGGTCACACATCTTCCCTGCAAAGAGCTGACTCCAACTAAGTGACACTCCTGGAGTGGGCTCACCTCTCCTTCCCCGGTGTTGGGGTGGCACTCTGAATCATACAGGTCCTCAAAGGACAGAAGACCACAAAACTGAAATTCAAAAAACTGAAACTATATTGTGCAACCATGGGCCACTGACTGGGTCAGTGAGAAATAATCCTGCTCAGGGCAGACGGGAGCTATGACCCACGCTGGTGATCACTGCTGCTCCCGTCGTGGGGAGGAGAAAATGAGGTGACATGCGCAAGGAACCTGCGCAGAGCCCGACACGCTCAAGACACGGAACCAACTGTCAGGATTAACCACAGCAGATTCTACCCGGCACAGTACAGAAACCCCACGCCTACGAGCCTGAATTGTCAGCATACGCTCCTTCTTATAAGACAATGGCATTCTGCTTCCACTAACAGCCCCGAATTCATCCATTTGTTTTGATCATTTGCTCTACATCAATTCACATGATCCCACCCAGGTATCAGTATGGAAACGTACAATCCAATGAGGAAGGTTGAACCGAGAGAAGAGAGCATGCTGGCAAACACTAATGATCCCATCGATATATATTAATGCTCCAACAGCAAAAGTTGTGAATATATTTCACTTTTAGTCTGTAACCCACTAATTTTATTGCTGTCTCTGCTTTATTTTTAAAATTAAACAAATGAGTTCATACTTTAGTGGTTCCTAATCTTTTCGGGAGGAAACCTTAGACCCCTTTGAAAATCAGATAACACCCAATGCTCCTCTCCCCCGACAGTCACAAATAGTCATTACCACAAAACGTGGGGGGCTCAGGGACCTCCTGGTGCTATTATTACACAGTGTCAGTGGTGAGTTCATGTAAATGCGTGTATCAAAGGGAGTATGTGATACCTGAAAAAACCAACAACCCTGACTCCTCAGATTGCTCAATAAGAATGGTGCACAAATAATCAGGACATTTGTTTCCTTAAAACTGGCATTGTCAAAAGAAAATGAATCTTTCACATTTTTTCCCTGACTTCACATCCAGAAAGATGTAAGCTGACAGATTTTCTCATCTGTCCCATAGAGCACTGAAATTGCTCCTGCACAGTGACTTTCAAGGCTGTCTGATAATTTAATATCGAAGAAAATGTATCCAAAATTCACCCAAAATGTCCCCTAACACTTGGTGGTAACAGTAGAGTAGAGCCGCTCTGAGGGGCTTGGACCACATCAAGGAAAGACAGAAAACCAGGAAGACAACAAAACACTCTTCATCTGGGCAGCAAGCAAATAGTGAAACATGAGGTCTCTAATCTGCCAGCCTATACGCACCAGTGTCCTAGTTTGGGTAACCAGTGAAAACAAGACAGCTTTTAAGGAAGAAGCAGGTCTCTAGCATCTGAGGAGTTCTCTAGTACCGGGCGTGTATCTAGTTGCAGCTCGAAAACAGCTCTGTACTCTTACCTAACCTGCAATCTACTCTAGGTCACCAAAGCTAACTACAGGGATTTTTAAAGGACATGTTAGAAGATAATGAAACTGCTCATTTTTAAAATCCAGAAGTACCACAATAAGCTAATGGACAGGCAGAGTTACCACAGTTACCATTTGCTGATGCCCCGCAATGACAATGGAACAGGCCAAAATTGGTGTGCCACACATTCCCAGGAGCCTCTCGCTCTGGGCTCGCAGCAACTCTACAGGTAGGTCTTCTCTCCATCTTACAGACAGGTAAACTGAAGATCAAAACACCTAGAGTAACCTGTCCAAAGTCATGCTGCTACTGATTGCTGTGTTTGAACTGGGGTTTGAATCTGGCCTTGAAATTCCAAGGTATGTCCCAGCATGATACAGTGAAGTCCATGTACTGTACACTTCCCAGAATCCAGGACAGTTGGGTCAGCAATGTTTCCCTTCTCTCCTCCACCCAACATAACACACATTTCAGGACCATTTTAAAATAGTTACCCTTTGCAAAGTACTAACCAGGTTATGTTGAATACAGAAGCAATAGTGAAGCCCCAGCAGCGTACTTCC